GACTAAATATCTGTGATTCCAGAATTTGGCCAAATTCAGTGGATATGTCACCCGTAGGGGCAAACTGGCACAGCACTCCCCCTCCCTTCCTATCTGCCTGCAGTATTGGGGGACACCAGCCCCACCCACATGTGTCACTTCTGCTTCAGAGGACCCATGTATTCTGGCCCGCTTTTAAAACCTGTTCTTCTCACTTCCCACTGATCCTCTGAACTCCCTCAGAACCTTCCCCAACATTCATTTGCCCCCTAAGACACCCAGAAGTGACCTGTGTGTTGATTACTACCCGGAACCCTGACCCTTCTACTAGTGAGCCCTGGATTCTAGAATGTTCATGAGGAGGGGTGAGCACTCTGAGGGTCTAGAGCACCAGGCCTTCCAAGATGCGGGGAGTCTGCAATTTCAGGGATCCTACGGTTCTGAGCCTCCCAGGTTCCAGAACTCAGGGATTCTCCAGCTTGTCCCTGTCCGCCCGGCTCTTCAATAATTGCCCCTGACAGATAATAGTGTCTCTGGGCAGAAACCATGATTCCTCTAATCCAGCAGCCCAAGCCCAGGGCCTGCTGCCCACAGCCACCTGGCTTTCCCTAACAGCTTAATGAGAAAGTCAGAATTAATTGGAACTGGCACCCAACACTTACAGGGCTCAGTGTGGCCAGCTTGGCCTCCATATGTTAAAGCCAAGTGTCCCTGGGCCTTGCCCTGATCTATCCTAGACATCAACAGGTATGACACGTGAGGCCGGGAGCTTAGCCTGATAAGGGAGGTGGCCGGGGCCGTGATGACCTGGTTCTGCAGGTAGAGCCAGCCTGCTCACCTTCCCTGGAGAGCGTGCACACCCTCGTTCTACCACGTCCCTCTGTCTGCCTCAGTTTTCCTCCTTCGTTGGATGAGCCAGCCTCATGGTTTGCTGTAAATTGCTCAGTACATGCATTGTGCTGGCTGGAATCTGTCCTTGGCTCCCTGGGGAGACTCCCAGAGGGATAGAACTAGTTTATTATTTCAAGAGCTATTATCAGAGAGATTATACTGCTTCACACTCCAAACCCCAAATTGTGAGATGGCTCTTTTCCCCAAACCCCAGCGACAAGGTGAATTATCAAACTTTTTCACCTTCAGCAACCTAACAGATTTCATTTAAAGAAGGTATTTCGCCGAAACCGGTTTGGCTCAGTGGATAGAGCGTCGGCCTGCGGACTGAAAGGTCCCAGGTTCGATTCCGGTCAAGGGCATGTACCTGGGTTGCGGGCACATCCCCAGTGGGAGATGTGCAGGAGGCAGCTGATCGATGTTTCTCTCATCGATGTTTCTAACTCTCTATCTCTCTCCCTTCCTCTCTGTAAAAAATCAAAAAAAAAAAAAAAGGAGGTATTTCATGGTAGTTTTATTTTATATCTAGTTTACCGTGAGTGAAAATGACTTCCTCTCATATGTTTAGAAGACACTGTATTTCCTTTTTAAAAAAAAAAAAAATGTATTTTTATTGATTTCTGAGAGGAAGAGAGAGGAGGAGAGAGATAGAAACATCAATGATGAGAGAGAATCATTGATCAGCTGCCTCCTGCACACCCCCTACTGGGGATCGAGCCTGCAACCCAGGCATGTGCCCTTGACTGGAATTGAACCTGGGACCTTTCAGTCCACAGGATGATGCTCTATCCACTGAGCCAAACCAGCTAAGGCCTGTATTTCCTTTTCAAAAACTGTTCATATTTTTTGCTTTTTCTATTGGCCTTATTGGGATACAACTCCCAGCCAGGTCATTATTGAGCTTTTGAAGCTTTTTACATATTAAGGAAATCAGCCTTTTCTCTATCAGTCTTGGAAAAGTTTTCCTGGCTTTGTCTACTGACTGTCTAGTATTTGTGTGTGTGTGTGTGTGTGTGTGTAAGAATTTTATATTTGTCTGTAGTCAGTTATTAATCTTTTAATTAAAGACTTCAGGGTTTAATGTAATGTTTTAACAAACTAGGATTATTATTTTTAATTCCCATGTTTTCTTCGAGTAGTTTATAGTTTGTCTCTCTCTCTCTCTCTCTCTTTTCTGGGAAGGGTAATCCATCTGGAATTTGCTTTTAGCCACTTTCAAAATCTTCATCTGAAATCTCATGATTGTGTAAGAAGCTTCATAGTCAGCGGACAATAGCGTGAGTGTTGAAGCCAAGTGGCTGGGATTCAAATCCTGGCTCTGCCATTTTCGCTGTGTATTGCCAGGGGAACTGTGCATCCTCTCTGTGCCTCAATTTACTCGTCTGTAAAATGGCAGATAACAGCGTCATGTGAGAATTAAGGGACGTGTTCTATTTTTAAAAATATTTTTTATTGATTTTAGAGAGAGAGAAAGAAACATCACTTTGTTGTTCTGCTTACTTATGCATGCATTCATTGGTTGTTTCTTATATGTGCCCTGACCTGGGATTGAATCGATAACCTTGGTGTATTGGGACGATGCTCTAAGCAACTGAGCTAACCAGCCAGCCAAATTGCATTTCTTTCTGAATATCCTCTTGAAACTAGACAACCAATGGGCCTGTCACTACTTGAGCCAATTCAGCAGAGACAGGGTTGATTCATATATGAGCGTTTATTCCAATACCGCCAGCAGTATGGGAGAGCAGCAGGTCATCCACAAAAATCTGCTCTGCAAACCCCCATAAACCAGCTGCTTATATCGAGTGGGACTAAGATGACTTGGGGAAGAAGGGGTTGCAGGCATGGGGAAGTAGGCTTTGCGGGCTGGGTGGGACTCCATTTTTTGGGCTCAAAGGTTGTTAATCTTTCCATGATAATACGCAGTTCTTGACTGAGAATGGACCACATTCCAAGGCTGACTCCCAGGTCCTGGGTGGGGATACAACTCCCAGCCAGGCTAGAATGTCCTTTCTTTAACCAGAACAAGGCAGTCATGGTTAAGAGAGCATGGTTAATATTTCCCATAACCATAGCTAGTCCCCAATATTCTATTTTTTGCCCCTACCACTCTCAGCATAGACAATTATCAGTGACTGTGCTTCAGGAACATTTCTCAGTGCTCTACCCTCAGTCATTTCATCCTCATAACAGCTCCATTGGACAGATGGGAACATGGAGGCCCAGGGTTGTTAAGTTCTTTCCTGGGATCTTTCAAGGGTCAAGGTCGGGGTTAGAGCCCACACTCTGTCCACTGCCCCGTTCTGGCCTCAGCCTCCCTCTCTCCCTCACTCCTGCCACTGCTGGAGGAGTTCCCAGGGGGCTTCATCTTAACTGGCTTTTAAGTATAGACTGAATCATGAAGGTCAAACCAGCATCCTGGAGACCCAGAACTGGTCAGTCCTGTCCTGGCGGGTAAGACAGTGGGCAGGCGCAGACAGCAGGCAATCAGGGAAGGCTTTTGGGAAGAGGTGTGACTGGAGAGGCAAGAGGAGCCTGAGAAAGGGGTTGCCAGGGAGGGGGGACATAGGATTGGGGATGGGTGAGCCCCTGCTCACAAGCCTCCTGTGGCTGCCACTGACCACAAGCCTTTACTCCTGCTTTCCCCCGACGAGGCACACACTGAACTATATAGTTGGTGATCGCGGGAAGGTGTCTCCTTGGTGGGAATGTTGAACTCCTATTCATCTGCCAAAGCCCTAGCACCAATGCCTACCCTGTCTGGGAAGCCATGCCTACATACTGGCCTTTCCCAGCCTAGGTTCTCTCCTCCTACTTAAGCCCTGACCTCATAGGGCTGGGAGTGTCTGTGTCCAAGTCTGTATCCCTCACCCTCAACTGGGAGACCCTTGAGGGCAGGGTCCTAGGTTGTGATGTCTCTGGTGCTTGGCATTGTCCAGACCAACCAACAGAGCAGATGCTGGTTGAATGTGTCTTGAAGGAAATAAGTGTCTTGAAGGAATAAATGAGTAAGCGATGAATAGAATTCGCAATCACTTATTTCCCTCTGCCCACAGCCCTCCAGTGTTCCCACCTCCCTCAGGGTAAAAGCCCAAGTCCTCCCCAAGGCCCACATGGCTCTGTAAGACCTGTCCCTCATCACCTCCCTGACCTCACCTCCTCCCTCTCTCCCCCTTGCTCACTCTGCTCCAGCCACCAGGGCCTCCTAGCCGTTTCTCCAACCACCAGGCATGCCCCTGCCCCAGGGCCTTTGCATGTGCTGTTCCCGCCCCGTCTGCAGCACTCTTGACCCTTTGCTTGACTGACTCACTGCTTCTCACCTTCAGAACTCAATTCAAATGCCACCTCCTCAGAGAGATCTCTCTTGACCTAGATCTCTAAGAGATCTCTCTTCCCTTCCTTCTTTTCCGCTCCCTAGCCCTTCCCAGGACAGGGTGCATTGTGATGTGTTTCCTTATTGTGCGTTTTGTTCGCGGGTATCGGGGCGCTTCCAGGAGGCACTTGATGCATCAGTGCATGACCGGAGGGGTGTCTGCGGGTGGGGGCGAGGGGCCCTGGGTCCGCCCTGCCCTCGGTCTGCCCCGCCCTCAAGGGGCCTCCCTCGGGCACAGCGGGCGTGGCCGGGCGGGCGGGGGCGGGCTGCTCGTCCCGTCGGGCGGGTGCGCTGGGCACGAGGGGCGGGGGCCCGAGCCGGGACCGGGCGGGGAGCGCCCAGCGGGCGCCATGGGGGGGCTTCGGCGGGGCCTGTCGCGCTGGAAGCGCTACCACATCAAAGTGCACCTGGCGGACGAGGCGCTGCTGCTGCTGCCGCTCACCGGGCGGCCGCGCGACATGCTCAGCGACCTGCGCGTCCAGCTGGTGGGCCAGGGCGTGAGCTCCTGGAAGCGCACCTTCTACTACCCCCAGACGGTGTGCAACGTGCGCCTGCAGGACGGCTCCGTGCTGCTGCTCGTCAGCGACCCCAGGTGGCGGGGCCGGGGGGCCGGGGTCCCGGGGTGAGAGTGGGTCCAGGCTGGCGGAGGCAGGCAGGGAACCCGAGGGCCTGTGGGGGTGGGGGAGGGGAGTGAGTCAGGGCCTGGCTGGGGTCCGGGTAGGTGGGACGTGGGCGGGCGGGTAGACCAGGGGTCCTTCCCGGCCCCTGGAGCGCCTTCTCCCCCGGCCCAGCACTGCCCTGGTGGGCACCGGCTGAAACGGGAATGGAGGGAGGCAGGCAGGCACCCAGAGACGCCAGGAGTGCGGCTGGATGCCCCCTGCCTGCTTCCTTCTTTTCTCTGCCTCTGTCCGCCTCTGGCCTCCCCTCCCTTTCTTTGTCTCCCCTCTGCGCGGTGCTGTCCTATTTATTCCACTTCCCAGCATTCTTTCTGCCTCTCTATGGCTCTGTCCATTTCTGTCTGGCCATTCTGTCTGCTCTTTTCTCTGTCTCTCTCGGTGCATGCCTGTCTCTGTTTGGCTCTGTCTCTGTCCTTCTGAGTCTCTGGTCCTTCTCTCTTCATCCATCTCCCCCACTACACCTGCCCACCCGCATTCCCATCCTGACACTTGCTGCCTCCACTCTGACCTGGCCATCTGGAGTCCTGGCCAGGGTGACCCCGAGGGAAGGATCTCAGGGGCAGGGGGAGACGGTGGGACGGTGCAGAGAAGGGCTTCTGGGCCGTGGGAAGAGCACACATGGAAGCCTGGGGCTGCCCCGGGAGGTGGGGGAGACTGGCAGGGGCTGGCCACAGAGCTCCACCTTAGAGATGTTGGGCAGAGGACACACTGGAGCCATAAGTGTAACCCTGGAGTTCATGGAGGTCGTGCTTGTCGGGCCACCGAGGCTGGTCTGCCAAGCCTGGGTGATGTTTTGAGAGCAGGAGCCTCAGATGCTGGTCCTGGAGACTCAAGGTGTGTGTGTGGGAGGAAGGATTTCAGGGGCGGGGGAGACAGTGGGATGGTGACCGATGGGGGGTGGGGGCTTGGGCTGGGAGAAGGTGTTCCTGGCAGTGCACCTTATTCTACAAATTCTGGAAGCGGGACAGCCCCAGACATCCACACACCATAATCACGTTCAATACGCAATAAGCATTTATTGAGTGCCTACTGTGTGCCAGGCCACGTGCTGGGCATTGGAACCCAGTGGGGACTCAGACCAGGCCTGCCCTCTCGGAGCAGACATGAAACCAAATAAACATATGATTAGTGTCAGATTGGAATGTGTTACACCTTCCTCCTTCCCTCCCTCAGCTCCTTCAGGTCTTTGTTCACATATATAAGTCCTGGCAGAAATATATATATAAATTGATTTCAGAGAGGAAGGGAGAGGGAGAGAGAGATAAACATCAATGACGAGAGAGAAACACTGACTGGCTGCCTCCTGCACACCTCCTTACTGGGGATCGCAACCCCGACACGTGCCCTGACCAGGAATTAAACCGTGAACTTCTGGTTCATGGGTCAGTGCTCAACCACTGAGCCACACCAGCCAGGCCCCATCCCTGCTTTTTTTTTTTTTTTTTAATATATTTTATTGATTTTTTACAGAGAGGAAGGGAGAGAGATAGAGAGTTAGAAACATCGACGATAGAGAAACATCGATCAGCTGCCTCCTACACATCTCCCCCTGGGGATGTGCCCGAAACCCAGGTACATGCCCTTGACCGGAATCCAACCTGGGACCCTTCAGTCCGCAGGCCGACGCTCTATCCACTGAGCCAAACCGGTTTCGGCCCCATACCTGCTTTTATCTTTCTCTCTGACACTTACCAACCCCTGACTTCTCTATATTTTTCTAATTTGTTTTTTAACTCCATCTCCTCCAGCAGACTGTAAACTTTACGAGGGCGTTGTTCATCCTCTTCACTGCTGCCTGGCACATAGTACGTGCTCAATAAATATTTGTGGAATGTATGGTCTGGAGGGGAGGAAAGGGCTGCTCAGAGCACTTTCCTGGAGCCCTAGCAGTTCCTGGATGTGGGGGAGAAGGTCTCTGACTTGGGGGTAAGTCCTGGCAGACGTGGGAAGATGCATCAGCCGGACACTGAGCAGATAGGTGAGCCCGTGAGCGCGGAGGTGAGGGCTGTGTCCGGTCTGCAATCTGTGTCTTCCTGTTCTCCTTCAGGTAGTCTGGGTTGGAGGAGGTGGAGCCATGACCGAGGGGACCGAAGATGCTGGCTGAAGGAGCAGGCTGGGTGGGGGACACCTTCGGGAGGTAAGTCATTCCAGGGACCTTACCTATTGTGAGGACCACAGTTGGGGGAAAATGAGGCCCAGAGAGGAGAAGGGACTCACCTCTTTTGAGTGTCACCTCCCCCGCCCCCAACTCCAAACCCCTGTGCTTTTCACCCCTTGGGCAAGGACACTGCCCTTGCCTTCTCACTTACCTTTACACTAACCACGTTGCCCCTAACATGAATGATGTTGCCCAGACTTGCTGTGTGGCTTTGGGTGAATGACTGCCTCTCTGGGCTGTCACCCGCCTCCTCACTTTGTACTCTTTGCCTGAATTTCCGTAGCTCGCACCAGGTGGCTCCAGACAGCCAAGCTCCCTCTAAGAATGGCTGGCTACCTGTGGCTGGAGGGCCATCCTTGTCCCTCCTGGGGGGCACCAGGCCCATGGGGAAGGAGGGAATGACTGCAGGCGTTGCTGTCCACACCCATCGGGAGGGGATAGTAGGGAAAAGGGAAGAAGGAAACCTGGCCAGAGAGCTGGTGTTTCATGCTCCTAAAGGCCTGAATTGAGATTGTCTTGTCCACCCCTCCTGCTATTCCAGGTTCTGGGCTCCTAGGGTGGACAGTGAAACACTGGCCTGACCAGCTGATGCCCACTGCCATGGACAGTCCTGAGGGAGCCCCACTCCCTGACACTGAGCGAGGACATGGTCGCCCCAACCCAGCCAGTCAGGTTGTACTGTGTGACCCTGAGGCCATGCTGCAGGAACCACTGTGCCAGCTTGGGCAGCGTGTCAAGAGAAGCACAGAGGAGAGAGGAGAGGAAATCAGGCAGCACCTCTCCTACCTTGTACATTCTCTTGGCCCAAGCTGTGCCCCTGCCAAAGGCACCATCCACACCCCTCTCTGCGGCTCCAGCCCAACTGGAATTCCAGCCTCCTCCAGGAAGTCTTCTCGGATGCCCTCCTGCCCAGCCAGTGAGCACCGCATCCTCTTGTGGGTCCCCACAAGCCCCTCTACTGTGAACAGCCTTGGCTGTGGGGTATAGCCAGTCGCTTAGGAAATCTCAAATGACTGAAGGTGGAGACTGGGGAACGCAGCCCTCTCCCCGTTCTCCAGCGGCGTTCTGTGTTCTACCCTTTTCCCCAAATATCTCCTCTCATTGCATCTGTGCCCGCCCCCTTGGCGTGCCCTCCCTTAATGCCTTGCCCCCTGCCTGCTGCATGGGGTTTCCTGGTTGTGTTGGAAGGACTCTGGTCGAGTAGGCAGAGATCTGGGGGCCCCTGTGCCTGGTAGAGCACTGAGGCTTGGGTGGTAATCTTTTCTTTTTCTTTTTCTCCATCGCACTCATTTTTATTGTGACAATAAAGCACGTTTTTGCGCGGTCCCAGATGCCGACAAGAGCTCCTTACTGTTGGCTGCAGCCGCTCACCCTGCTTTCCACGCTGAGCCTGGTGTCACGGGTGGTGATTTTGAGGACATTCCAGGCAGTGTGCTGTGGGAATTCTGGGCACAAGATCCCCCAGATAGAATGCGGAGCCTCAGTTGGATCTCTGACCTGCAGCCGCGTGGAGGCTGGTCCTTTGTGCAGACCGGGAGGCTGGTTGGGGGTGGAGGGTCGGGCCGCGCGTGGTGTGGCGTTCACACTCCAGCTGCTGGCCTCGCACAGGGAAGAGGCACGGGAGCCTGGGAAGAAATAATGTTTTAATTAAGAAAGAGTCATGGTGGCCGCAAGGCCCAGAGCGGAGACAGGTAGATAAGACATCATGGCTGTGGCGCTTGGGGGCCCAGGGACACCTCCTTCCAGGGCCCAGCAAGGAGGTGGGGCTTTTTAATAATCATCCCAGCTCAGGTCCTCAGCCCCTCCCTGCCAGGGTCTGTCCCACAGATGTGTGGGGCCAGCTGTGCTGTTTAACAGCCGTGGTGGCTATGATTATGGCCCATTTTACAGACGGGGTGTCCAAGGTCACCACCCCCCCCTCCAGGCTGCTACTCCAGCAGCCCTTGAACTGAGGGGTCCTCAGCCCAAGCAGGGGGTCCTGGGTGAGGATGGAGGAGGGTTTCCTGCGTCTAGAGGGGATGGGGGTGTGGGGAAAGCACTTTCAGGGAGTTTTCACCCTTAACAAACACTATGCAAATTTAATGCAAATAACATGCAAATCGCCACCCATTTCTTAAGCCTCGGCAGCTCTGGCATGTTGTGAAATAATAATGTTGGACCTGTCCCTTGGTGTGGGTCTGGAGGCGAGATACGAAGCCTTTCCCTTCTTTCCTCCTCCCTTTCTCTTTCCTTCTTTTTTCCTTTCCTCCCTCCCTTTTTCTTCCTTCCTTTCTTTCCTTCCCTCCCTCCCCTTCCTTCTCTCCCTCCTTTTCCCTTCCTTCACATTCCTGAGATGAACACAAACAGCAAAAATGGCTTCTGGTGTCACTGTTTTCCAGGTGGGGAAACCGAGGCACAAGCCTGACCTGAGGTCCCAGGGCCACGTTGGGAAAGTGTCCCCACCAAGTGTCCTTAGCAGCCAAGGTGGGTGGTTCCTATGACCCAAGGAGAAGAGCTGACAGTGGCTGGACAGGCTCACGGGGTTTCTTGGCCTTAAACGGCAGGCTGCTGAGCTTGGATCTGGAGAAATCTCTCATTGACTTGCCCATTCCTCCAGCCCTTCTTTCTCCTCCCACTCCATCATCATATTCCTTGAATTCTGGGCACAACCCTTCTGCTCCATTTGCATGCCTTACCTTCTCTGTTTGGCAAGCTTCTATTTATCCTTGAAAACCCCAGCTCCAGTGCCCCTTCTTCATGAAGCCATTTCTGATCCTCTAAGAAGATCCTCTATTTCCCTCTGGGCTTCTGTGGCCCCGGTCTCTTTTTCTGGTCCGGCCATGGCCACTTGGGGCCAGCAGTGTCACGGTACACCCTGACAGTTCCAGCACCCGCCTGGTAATGACACACTTCCAGACCTTTGCATATGCATATTCTCTACCCAGAATGCCCTTTTCAGTCTTTCGCACCTGGCACACCCCTAAATTTTCAATGCCCACCACTAATGCCCCACCTCCATGTGGGCTCTACCGCTCTCTCCCAGACCACACCGGGGTCCTGCAGCCTCCATCCCTCTTTCTGGCCCACCCCTGCCCCTTGGAACCGGGAGGTCTGTGTGTCCTCCCAGTCTGGGGGTTGCCTCTGGGGACCTGGGGTCATCCAGGTTGGGACTAGGTACAGAGGGGCTGGCTGTCTTTGAATGTGTATTGAACAAAAGATTAAGTATTTGAAAACAAAATCAAATTCAAACTTCATAACTAAGCGCTTCCTTCATCCTTTCCTCTTGCTCACGTCCAGGCCTTTGCATAAGCTGTTTCCTTTGCCAGGAATGCCTTTCCCCTTGAATCCTATTCTGGGGGACCCCAAGCCAGGCGCCTCCCCTCTCTGGGCTGAGAAACTGGGGGAGCCCGCCCCCCACCCCAGGGCCTCTCAGGCTCCTGGCTCCACCCCAGGAGCAAGTCTGGGCTGTGAGAAGTTTCGGGTGAGACTTGGCAGCCACTTCTCTCTCTGGGGCCCACGGCGTCCCAGGGAGGAGCCACCGCCTGCCTTAGCTGCCCACCTGGTCTGTGCTCTCAGAATGTCAAGGGGAATTTTCCTGGGTGGCAAGTAAATCCAGACAGTTCCCAGAGGAGGCACCTGTGGCTTCGCTAGAAACCACACTTACCCGACCTCCGGCTTCAGTCCTGTTCGCTCTCTCTTTCTCTCCTCCCCCCTCCCTCCCTGAACTCAAAAGAACCTCCTTCCCCCCGCCCCCACCCCACCCACGCCCTGAATGTGACCTGGGACATTTTCAAAAGCTGCTGGGGCCATGCAGTTTGAAAGAACTGATTAAGCACCACCAGTTTACACGGGGACAGCGTGGTGACCAGGACACCCAGCCGTGGGCCCTCCTGGGGCTTCAGGTCCAGCAGAAGGGACAGGCTACAGCGTGGGGGCCGCTCCTGGGCTCCCCGACCCAGCCTTCCTCTGAGTGACCTTGGGTGGTCTTTGTCCCGCTCTGGGCCTCCGTTTTCCCAACGCCAGAGGAGGGAGGTGTGTAGGGTGGCTGCGCCAGGAGCTACTCTCATGGCACAGGCTGTTTGTTGGCAGAGAGATCCTGACTCATCCCCGTGTCCAAATGGGTTTGAAAGAATCCTCCAAGGGGAAAAGAGTTGTAGGAAAAAAAACAAAACAAAAAAGTCACGGAGTTGACCACCCAGCCTGCCATCTGACTCACCTGGGAGGAAACAGCCTCCCTGCCACCCCTGCATCATCCGGGAAACTTGCCGGTCTCTCCCCTCGTGGCCGGGGCTATCCCCTGCAGGCTGCCGGCCTCACGGTGAGGGCTCAGGCCTGGCCCCGAGGGCTCCTGACTAGGCACTGACCTCACCCTTGTGTTCTGAGCTCCAGACCCACGAGACCCCAGGCTGGGGTCCCACCCTTTCTAGCTACAGGCACTTGCATGTGCTGTTTCTAAGTGTGGAGTTCCCTCTGTTCACCCCTCATCTTTCATTCTCTGATTTGCAGGTTCCCTGTCCCTTCCTTGGGGAGGCCCGAAACAAGTCTCCAGTTTTGCATTCTCACACCAACCTGTTCTTTCCCTTTGTGGCATTAATTATTTAGATTGTTATTCATTCAATGTGTATTTTTCTCTGCTAGCCTGGGGGCACCGTGAGGGCTGGGAAGGGGTCTCAGCTGATCACCACTGGATCACGCGGCATTTAATAACCCAGTGTGTGCTATCAACAATAACATATACATATAAAAAATAAGCCAGTGGACAGGACTGGGCTACCAGGGACAGCCTCCCTTCTCAGGCTCAATGAAGGCCCCCTGCCCCAGCTCCTGTCACCATCGTGCCCAGCTCCAGGTGGCCAAGGGGCACAGGGGCTCGGGATTGGGATTCCAGGCATTCTGGCTCCTGCCACTGTGATAAATGGGAAAAATTCAGAATGAATTATTGGCTGCTCCTCTGGCCTGATGTGGACAGATAAAGAGTGTCCTTGCTGCTGCGTCTGCCCACCACCTCTCAGGAGTTAATTAGAGGTTGGGAAGTGGCTGGCTCAGGGGAAGGTCCCAGAAGGCGCTGCTGCCGGATGGAGCTGGGTGCAAAGCCTAGCTCTGCTGGGCCACTCGGGCAATTCACTTTCCCTCTCTGAGCCTCAGTTTTCTCACTTGGAAAAAGGAAAGAGGAAACATCCTTGTCTGTTGGGATGAATTTCTCGGGAGAATCACCTTGAGCTAGGAGAGTGGCATACAGTAGCTATCCAATGAATGCTGCAGAAATGGCAAGTTGTCTTTGCAGGCTTAATTCTTCCTCTCCAACCACCACCAGCAGAATGAAGTGAGGGTTAGGGGCAGCATCCTTACCCAGGGGTAGATTTGTTTCCCTCACATGGCGAGAGATAGCACAGGGCAAACACAGGTCTGTTTGTAAGAATTGATCTAAGACAACAACCACAAAGGACCAACAGTTTGTCTGAACTACTTCCTTTTCCGTCAACTTTCAGATTGCCTGACCCCATTGCCAGGGTAGAGTGCCCTCTGGTGGGCAGTGCAAAGGTGGCATGAATACAAATGTCATCAAGTCAGCCTCGCACTGACTGGTAGAAAGATCATGGAAGCCATAAATGTAATTTAAAACTTTCTGGTACCACTAGCAAAAAGTAAATGTAAGCAGGTAAATTTTATTTTAATAATATTTTATTAAAATATTATTTGATTCAATACATTCAAAATATTTTAATATGCAACCAATATAAAAATTTGTTAATGAGCTGTCTTACATTCTTTTTTTCATACCAAGTCTATAGAATCTGGTGTGTATTTTATACTCACAGAACATCTCAATTTGAACTATTAACATTTTTATTTTATTTATTATTATTTAAAAATATTTTTATTGATTTCAGAAAGGAAGGGAAGGGGAGGGAGAGAGAAAAAAACATCAATGATGAGAAAGAATCATCAATCGGCTGCCTTCTACACAACCCCCATTGGGGATCGAGCCTACAACTTGGGCATGTGCCCAGGTTGGGAATTGAACTGTAACCTCCTGGTTCATAGGTTGATACTCAACCACTGAGCCATGCTGGCCGGGCTATTATTATTATTTTTAATCCTTATCCAAGAGAATGAGGATATTTTCTGCCATTGATTTTTAGAGTGAGTGTAAGGGAAGGGGGAAACGGAGAGAGAGAGAGAAACACTGATGTGTGAGAGACACATCGATTGGTTGCCGCCCACATGCTTCCCAACTGGGGGGCGGGGATTGAACCTGCAACCCAGGTACATTCTACCCACTAAGCCATGCTGGCCAGGGCTGAACTAGTAACATTTTATTTTTTATTTATCTTTTTAATATATTTTTA